AACTTTGCAATACACTTAATTTCCACAGTCCCTTAAACTTAAACAGACGCTATAATTCTCAACGAACGATTCACGCAGTTTACTTACTACCGCGCTTGACTCAATTGTCCGTCTCTATCTCTGTCTGCAATTCAATTGTTGCCGTAACTCCTTGCCGGTCTTATATATTGTTATGTCTCTGATCGTTAGTTAATTTTCCGTAAAAATTCTTTCTGAAGAAACTTTAGCGAAACAAGTCCTTTCTTAAATAAAACTAGTTTATTCTTTCTCAACTTTGCAATACACTTAATTTCCACAGTCACGCTATAACTTAAACAACGCTATAATTCACAACGAACGACTCACGCGCTTGACTCAATTGTCCGTCTCTATCTCTGTCTGCAATTCAATTCCCCTCTTTTGTTGCCGTCACTTCTTGGCGGTCTTATATACAACAATACCGCATATCTAGTAAACACTCGAGGCTTCACGAAGGGACATGAATTTTCTAGAAGCTCATGACGTGTTACTAGAGTCACGTGACTTTCGCTGTCGTAACAATATTATAAAAGCGTACATCTCGTCTCTTCGTGAATTTTCTAGTTACTCATCACGTGTTACCAGCGTCACGTGACTTCCGCTGTCGTAACACTATTAAGGTTATTACCATCCAAATTATACTTATAATTCAAATTATGATAACCGACATGTATTATCTTGCATTTATTATAATTAAAACCCATCCGCCATTTATTTGCTCAATTATCTAAATCCTTTTGTAAATCAGCAACATCCTCTTCACAGCTAGCAACACACAAGACCTTAATATCATTTGTAAATTTAAGTAATTTATTGACTATTCCTTCATCTATGCCTTTTATGTAAATTAGAAAGAGCAAAGGTCCTAAGACTGAGCCCTGAGGCACCCCACTTGTGATATTAATCTTGTTTGAGTAAACTCCATTTGTAACAACCCTCTGCTTTCTTCCATTCAGCCGCTCTTCTATCCAATTTGCTAAGTTATTTCCCATACCTATAGAGACATTTTTCTAACAAGCCTTTTATGTGCCACCTTGTCAAATGCTTTCTTAAAATCCAGATTCACCAAATCTATACCCTTATTCTCATCTACATAAGCAGTAACCTATCCAATAAAATTCTAAATTTTGTTAAATGACTTGCAAAGCATCTTTTAACAGACTTTCCGGAACTTTCCCACAATTGATGTAAGGCTAATGGGTCTATAATTACTGGGACAATTTTTATTACATTAGCTAACTTATAATCCTTTGGTATCTGCACACTGTTGAAGGACAGACAAAAAATAGTAGTAAGTGGCTCACATATCCAATTTTTAACCTCCTTCAAAACCCTTGGGGAAATATTATCTGGCCCAGGAGACTTATCGTTTTTTCCACTTTCCAGTTTCTTCTTAACCATCTCAGAATTAACGCAGTCATCTTGTTTGATCTCGTTTTCATCTACCAACTGCTCAAGATGTGGAATACTGCGTATATCTTTGTTCAACCACTGCATACACTAGAAAGCCTTAACTATTGAAACCTTCTGTTTTATCTTTTTTTAGCTCGTTAATATTCTTAAGGTGATCCAAACTAAAGACATTATTATAAGCGAAGCCCGATAAGTTTTCTGTGCAAATCATTAACAGGATCTGTACTTTTAAACTCTAAAAGTTCATTAACTATATTGCTCAATTTAATTTGCTATTTTCCCCACATTCAAATACATCCTCCGCTTTGCGGGTTTTAAAAAAATCGACTCTAAACGTTCTCGTTTCTTCATTAACCTCAGTATAATTAATCTTTCGAACTTAAATTTTTATTCTCATCTAACTTTTCAATAAATGTTTGTTTTGATACATTTGATGGAAAACTAATTATATTAAAGAAGCATAATTAAAGTTTTGAGAACGTAATTATAACTGATTTTCAGCTATGTAGATGTCGCTTTATGAAGGAGACGTTTCTGTCATTCTACGGAGGACGTTTGTTTAGTGAGTTGTATGTTTTCTATCATTTGTGATTTATTAGTACTAATTGTAACACTTAAGTTTTTCTTAAGAACAGTTCTGTTGTTTAATTTTCACTTTTACTTATGTATGTAAATGTGTGTATATTTGATACTACTGCCAAGTGTAATGATGAATGTTACTGTTAGAACTAATAGTAATACGAACTTAGTGAAGTTAGTAAATTTAAGTTTTAAACATAAATTTAAATACCACTGGTGCGGTGGCCACCGGGTGTTACGATCATCACTAATACTATTACTACTATTAATAATATTGGTGTCATTGATACTAGAATACTGTGTTCCTTTTATAACTTAAACTAACGTGTTATCAACTCTTATGTGATACTGCCTATTGCTAATGCTAGTATTGGCACTATATTGACGTTATTACTGTTTACAAAATAGTACATATAATATTGTTTATAGTGTATACGGTATAGTACAACTTTTGTCACAGTGGAGGAGAGGGTCCCAACTTTCCATGTTAATTTTTGTTTTTTGAAATAAATATAAAGCCTCAACTGTCAATGTTAATTTTGACTTGTGTTTGTTATATGTAATTTATAAATAAAGAGTAAGTAACTTTAAAAAATAAATAAATAAGATTAAAAAATAAGTATTAAGTAATTTATTCATATGGATTATACAAATTGTGAATATCATTCAAAATTGTCAAATAACAATATGGTGGTTGTACTTCCTTCGTCATTTTTGAATTGGATTTCTGCTGTTATAAATAAAAAAATATATAAAAGAAATCTATTATAAAATTTCAATTTTAAGTAGATTTTTTCATTTTTGTGAATTGACTTCATTTAAATTCAAGCTCTCAATTTTAGCCTAGCCTTTGTCCCATTTGTGTTTTCCTGATTGTGAGAACATTGCTGTCTGTGTTAAATCAAGCACCCAGGGCTAAATTTTGATGTGTGTGAATGATTGACTTCTCTCTTGTTCTTGTAACCTTATTTCTGATATATATTAAAATCCTTGTATGTGTTGTATAACACCTAGGAGGTTTATCAAAAAGAAAAGTATATCTGACACAGTTTCTGCTTTGCATGGATGTATTTCTCATCTCTAGAAGAAGTAAATAACTTCCTATTTTATTTGAGGTTGTAGTTTGAAGCCTTAACAGCCTATAATTTGATGACAATAGATTTCCACACCTTTTTTCTTTTTAATCATTCCTGAGCTTTTATTGCCATAATGTTATTCATACATCTAAGTTAACTTAGGTTACTGTATGGTGAGTTAAAAAGGACTTAAAATCGCCATAAATCTTGTATATGCATTACCTTTGTAGGAGGCCTAACTGTATTTCTTTGGTTTGCTGGCCCAAGCTGTGTTGATTAGCCTTGAATAGGCAAAGCTGTAAGCATGGTTAATGTTGATGACTATGAGATTACTGAACTTTCATATGTTCCATTTTTACAAAATAAGGTATTAGCAATATTCCTGACCATGAACTTTCTATGTGAAATATTGGAATTGACCTGAATCGTGTAAATATTAATCCCTTGGTGGTAAGCAGAAATATTAAGAAATTAAGAGTAGATAAAGAACCAGGGCCACACAAAGTTATCCCTTAGGGTTTTAAAAGAGATCTGAGATCAGATATGCGAGTCTTCTCTCTCTCTCTCATTTTTTGTATGCTGATAAAAAGTGGGCAGGTGCCAGAGGATTGGAGAGTTTCTATATTACTTTTGTTTTTTTAAAGGGATGATAAATAGTTGCCCAGGAAACTAGAGGTTAGTAAGTGTTTACTTCTGTAGTGAGAAAACATTTTAGAGATTATGATATAAGAAGCTTCACAAAAATCATTTAGTGCAGGAGTTCTCAACCTTTATGCTACCACGGAACTCTTATTAAAAAACTTAATTGAAGTGGAACCTTATCATACATGTGTGTGTGTGTATATTTATATATAAAGAGAAACACATTATATGTATTAATTATTATTGCAGGTGAAACTGAGACATAACATCAGATTACATATTAAATCCAATATTATATAAGTTTGAAGTTCTTCATTTTATAAAAAAAAATATTTAAAACAACTTCAATCTTCCCTAGTGAAAGAATTAACATCTTGTTCTCTAGTCATCACTTCTACTTTAATTTATTTATCTCCCCTCCAAGAACTAAAATATTTGACATAAAACAGTCTCTATAATATTGTCTTAGTGACATGATAGAAAATGTTTATATCCTTCAATCTTACTTGTCTAAAGAGCAATCCAAAAAAAAATTCAGATCCTGTCAAATTCTCTCTTTTACCATTTGCTAATAGGTTTCCCTGACATCCACCCACATTATATTTATAACCAACAGAAAGCCAAAAAAATTGACAGTTACAGAACAGTCTTAGCTTCTTTTTTTTTTAAATTACTACCATTACAGATTATTTCCTGTGAAACCTTAGGGTTCAGTGGAACCCAGGTTGAGAAACCGTGATTTAGTGAAATATGATGTTATAAATTAAAGACAACATGCATTTACTAAAGGGAAGTCTTTCGTTACTTTTTTGAGACTATTACTTGTTATCTGGACAAGAAAATAGGTTTGGATTTGGTGTACTTAAATTTACAAAAGCTTTTGATAAGGTACCACACAAAAGATTAGCTAAGAAAATCACTTAATTCGACCGCATGCTGGTTATATAGAACAAAGCAAAAGTTTGTTATTAATACAGTTCAGTCAAACTTGAACCTTATTTCTAATAGATTATCTCAGGGGTCATTGCTTGAATTTTCCTCTCTCTTATTTACATTAATAATACTGATAGAAATATAATTAGTAAATTAATAAAAGTTTAGTGATGTTTAAATTTTGGGTATTTCTAACTGTATTGAAGATTCTGAGGTACAGCAGAATTACTTAATCAGTTGGCAAGTTGGACAAATGACCTTTAATTGTAGTTGGTGCAAGATAATGGCACTTGGGTTATAAAAATTTACATCACATGTTTAATATAGATGGGAAACTTAATATTGGCATTCTTTACAGTTTTAGTCTCCTTATCTAAGAAATGATACAGAATTATTGGAAAGGGCTCAGAAGAAGGCTATAGGATGATTTTAAGTATGGAAAGGTTATACGTTATAATTCTGGGATAGGTTAGGATTCCTTGAAAAAAGAAGGTTAAGAGAGTAATCATATTGAAGCTTACAAGCTTATTCAGAGAGCATAAAGGACTCTGATTTCTTTATGCTATACAATTATTCTGAAGATAATAGAACAAGAGAATATAAGTTTAAAATTTGAAAAATACAGGACAGGCACCAGTTAAGACAGTTTTATTTACCTATCAGTTATTGACGTATGGAATCAGTTATCAGCATCATTCTAACATTTTGCATTTATCCCTTATTTATTTATTTTTATCTTCTTTGTTATCCATTTTTTTTTTTAGGAACATGCTTATCTTGAATTGATGCAGTTTATTTTAGAATATTTTTCAAATCTGTTCCACATCACCTTTTAACTCATTGTCCCATTCTCTGATGATAAATCTTGTGTCATGGTCTCAGAATTGACTTTCTGAAAATTAGGAATTAAAATTTCATTCCTTGTTATCTCAGTCTTATCTTGTTATGTAGCAAAACATCGAACCTAATAATGCAATGATCACTTTCCCCAAATGTTCCCTTACTTCAACTTTTACAACTATACCCTTATTACTGGTTAATGATAAATATAAAATGACATCTCTTCTAGTTTGCTTTGTGGTACATAAAACCAGGGATTTTCTTTTCATAGGGTAACATAGATTCCTTCTCCTAAACTCAACACTCCACCTAGAATGTTTACAAATTTGAGGAATTTATTTCTAGATAATAATGTTTGATGTGAAAAAGTTAGTTACCCTTATAACTGAACCATTATGAGCATGTAAAAAACATGAGGAATATAACCAGACCTTGTTTATAGACATAGTGCACATTTGGAACTTGAACACTCTGGCACATCAGTCACCAAGTAAAATTCTTATCCTCCCACCAAAAATAAATAAAAATTGAACATAAACCCCTGAAAAAACATCCTGAATCATGTCAGGAAATCTCTTTTCACCTTACTATTTGATTCCATACAATCCCAACCATTATATATTATAAATTTAAGTCTCGTTTAATTCTTGTATTAATATCCTTATTAGTAACAATCCTGATGTCGTTATACAATTTCTCATTGACTTCATCTGTCTGATCGGGTGGCCTATAAAAATTGGCATTTAATAAAAGCTTGCTACACTTGAAATCCCTGATTGTAACACACAAAGATTAAGCTTCTTGTTTACCATTTTTTATGCCTTCAATCTTTTTTTCTTTTCAAACAATTACAGTTCTTCCCTTATATAAAGAGCCATCCCACCTCCTCTCTTAGAAAGTCTGTCATTGTTAAATGACTTAAAAACTGGAATTCCAAAATAATTCCTATTATAAATGTTCTCCAAATTTATACGTTTCAATAATTTCATTGTCATAGTCTTCCACTTCGGCTAGAATACTGAACTCATCTGTTTTGTTCCTTAAACTCATAATGTTAGAATAATAGTAAATAAAATAAATTTATTCTTGACCTTATTACATTTATCATAAAATCCAATAGACTTGTTTTTAAAATTAAGATTTAAATTATGATAACTATCGTATCATTTTTTTCATTCTCAATTTCTAAAGGTCACTCACCATTATTCATATTTAATTTAAACTGTCTTTAGTGAATATTTTTAAGTTTCCCTAAATATCTTATTACCTAACCTGCTTAAGTGGAGCCCATCTCTAGCCTGCAGTTTACTCTTACCTTGACAACAACACTGCAGGTCCACCATCCCACTTTACACTCTAAACATATCACTGATAATCTTTCATATAAGCCTTGGATCATGATAAATAATCCATTGTAATGTCTAATTTGAACTAATGTTTTCAAAAGGGGCTACACATCTATTTTTATCCCTAAATTCGTTAAGGAGTTAACATATTACAACCTTTAAGGAAAATAAGGGGCCTGTTGGTCCATCTAGGTAATTCCATCCTCTATACTTAAAAACAAACTGAAAGCCAGACCTTATAATTCCACTGTTTATCCAGCATTCCATTGAATTTATTGTACCACATCTTATAGCAACCCATTCCAACTGTCCTTTTAGAAAACTAAAAGTGTCTTAAATGAAAATAACTCATACTCTGCAAAATGTATATTTCTGTTCTTTAGTTCTAACATTCTCACTGTTAAGTGTAAAACAGATGTTGCCTCAACACTATCAATTCCCTTAACAGTCTTAAGTAACTCAATCATATCCATTCTAATTCTTTCTTTTTTTCCAAAAGAAAATCATTTTGAATATTTTAACATGTCCTGTATGGCAACCTTTCCATCCAAAGTATCATCATAGTAGCCGTTTTCTGAACCTTTCCAACAATTCGGTAAGTTTTCTATGCTTATTAAGTGGTTCTTGTGATTTACTATTTTCAACATCATTTATGCCTACATGCATAACAAAGAGAATGTTTCTTGGTACCAACAACTAATCTTATGTTGTATATTATTCTATACTTTAACACCCAACAAGCAAATTCTTATCCTCGTGTTTTATGCTTCTTACTACAAATCCTTTATATGTATATTTAATGAGAAAGTCCCTCACTGTATGAACCTCTTGCACATCTATTTCTTTGTTGCATGTAGCCAATGGTTCAATCTATTTGAATCTGATACTTGAATGCTAATTGAATTGGACTTTCTAACTTTAGGTTCTTTTACAACTGTGCACCCTTTTAAACCCAGCACTCACATTTTCATCCTTCCCTTACATCAGTCTTTACTCTAATTCTATCCAATTCCTTTCTTTCTTGCTTGCTTTAATTTCTGCTCCCATCCCATTGTTTTTACCCTCTAATATCACAATCTTGCCCAAAGCTGTTTCCAACTTATCTTTAAGTAACCAAGCTCTGTAAATACAATGTATTGTGGTTTTCTGAGTTGAAATCAAGCCTACCGTTCTCAAACATAACCCACTCTGGAATCTGTTACTTCCTATAAATTCCACCTCACTTACCCATGAACTGTCTCTAACAATATTGAAGTTGTCTGGTCTTTATTTTGTATTCTTAATCTACACACCAATTGTATACTTAACTAAATTTAAGTCATTTCAAATTTTCTAGATTAATGTAACAATAAAATCCCCATTAACTGATACTGATATTATTACTTACTAGTCACCATGTCTCTGAGTTGTGCATAACTAATTGCAATTTAGATTATTTGCTAATGTATTAAGAACAAGGACAAACTATATACATGTGGATATTTTTCACTTTTCAGAAAGTATTGTGAAAAAGTATGTCAGAAACAAGTTATGCCGAAAACAAATGTTTGTGTGCTCAAGATGTCCAAGTTAATGATCAATGTAAGGAAAGAGATGCAAAAGTAGAAGTAGTTAATTTATATAAAGAGGATAGTTTTAGTTCAGACTCCTTAGCCAGTAAGAAGAAATTAAGCAAATCTGGTATTGAAGAAAATTTATCAAAAAGCTCTTCAGATGTACAGATAAAAGATACTGCATCTCTAGCTGAGAGCAGTGCAGGTAAAGATCAAGGCTTGGAACATTGTCTTGGACCGACAAAACCCGGAAACTGGCGAAGTTCAAGTGATGGATCATCAAAGATTATAACAGAACCCAGGCTCCTTGAATTAGCCAGTAGCCATTTATCTGTGTCAGATAGAAATGTGTCAAGAAGGCGTTCTGAATCAGACAGCCGAACTGAGGCATTGAAGGCTAAGATTGAAGACAAATTTGAGAAACTTCAACAGGAGTTGCAGGATAAAGCCAAACATAATTGTATTTTAAATTCAACTACTAAAACAAATAGAGTCAGTGAAGATGTGGAGGCTACAGGAGCTTTGCTTTTCAGAGAAAGGTAATGTTTTGATTTTACAGTACAAGTATTATAACAGGTTATATATTTGTTTATCTTGATAAACTTACTCAGAAGTTAAATAGAGCTTGCTAAATGTAAAGAATGAGAGATAATAGTAACATTTGAAAATGTTTTGTTTTATATATATAAAAAGACAGGCACTGCTTTGTGTTGCAGCTTATGTCAAAAATTCTGTAATTCTGTGGGCCCTGCTCATTGTAACTCTGAACAAAATCAAAGTAGCCTGAGAATACCACACTACTTTGATTTCCTTTGCCTTTTCATGTACACAAGTAACAACTTTCAGTTTGCAAAAAAACAACAAAAAACAATGGATATGATACTTATTTGTAGATAATTGGATATAAATGTTTTGCCTATTCAAAAAAAAGTATTCCTTTTACATATATATATGTGACTTTGACTGATTCTGAAATAAAGAAAAAGACTATACAATCAGAATCTTTATTTAAAACATGCTTTGTGCTGCATCTTCTACAGGAGAGAAAAAGGTGGAGAACTTTATTTGTGCTCTCTCAACAGTCTACTTTAAGCTCACAAATGTTGAAACTAGAGCCCAAATCTAACTGAACTTTGAGACATTTAAGTTGTATCTGAAGCTGTATAGCTGGAAAATCTGCAAGAAAAATCTATCTCTGTCTCTGTTCAAGAAAAGATGAACTTGTATACTTCTGCTTTCCAGATTCATGTGTTATCTATGTGAATGAGGCCACTTTCATTATTAACAAGGAGTATTATACCCTTCGATTATCACCTGATGTTTCAGTAAAAAAGGTCTCTGTCTATGGCATATCTTATGCTGCGGCAATTCTTTTTAATGCATGTGATTCACAGAGTTCATGAATAATTAAGGCAAAAGAAACTTAATGGTTCCCTTGATCGACTTTATATTTTAAGAACAAAATGTAAAATTTACTGACATTTTGAAAAATTCACCTAGTAGCTAAGGGGGTAGGAAGTATATGGTATTGTCATATAATACAGTAGTTTTGGAACTTTTTTCTTACATATTTGCACTGTATAATATTCCATAAGACGTCAGCCATGAACCAATTAGAACTTCCTACACAATCTATGTTTGATTAATTTTGTTCATCTTGTTGATACTTTTTTTTTATGTGTTTAGCATAACATAACATATAAACAGCAAGGGACTATTTAGTTCTTCAGGGCTGTCATTCACACCCATTCTTGAGAAAAGTAAATATATATATATAAACCCTACCCTTTATTTTCTTACAAAACATCAGTCATACTCTTAAACTCTTGTAAAATGCCTGCCTCCACCACTTTTGATGACAGCTCATTCCATAACCCAATCAGCCTGTTAAAAAGAGAAAATTATTTTAACTTGGCCTAACCTGACTTTCTAGATCTTAAACTAATGTCCTCTTTGTTGTTTTCAGAAAATAGCACAAAAAATCAGAGGTCGTTATCCTATCAATTCCCAGAATAATCTTGTAAACTTCAATAAGATCACCTCTTACCCTTAAGAGAAAATAAGAGGCTGTAACCTATTTCCATAAGATAACTCTTCCATCTCTCAAATTATTCAAGTAGCCATCATCTTGAACCCTCTCCAGTAAGTCAGTATCCTTTCTTGGAGGGGGTGGATTGTACATAGTATTCCAAATGACTTGTTGAATATGTCTATAGTCACACCTTAAAATTGTATTGGCTTTGCTACTAGTAAAAGAAAACTGCCTCAGCATTTTAAGTGACTTGTCCACCACTAATCAAAGATTGTTTCCTTCAGCCTCAATTATGTCAAAAATTCTATTTCAGTACAAAATACATAAAATAATTCAGATGAGCTGATGTGATGCTATCACATTGTGGAGCCGACAGAAATCATAGGATGTATTGTTTAGTTTTGATTATTCCTTGAAAGGTAAATATGTTATTAAATCCATTTTTTGCTTAAATATATAAAATAAATGAGATGAGTTTGCATATTAAGATTACTGCCTAGGCTTATTTGTTTAGAAACAGACATACCCTGTTTTTATATTGCCTTGTGTGTTGTGGCATCTAAAGTTCTAAACTTTCATAACCACTATTTGCCTCTCGTGGTATGCCAAGTGAGCAATCTTTGACTGCAATTGAACTTTATTGCATCACAGGTGCTGATATTCATAAAACTAGATATAAAATACATTAAAAATCAATAGCTTTGAGTAGTGTTTAGGAAAATTTTAAACATTTAGTGCCATGAAATAAGCAGTAATTAGTTATCCTAGTAAGTGTGATGATCGCTCTCTTTTTTTATTTATTCAGCTTTTAAAGTACTGAGATTTTTCTGGATTAAAATAGATAAATAATGTTTAAATATACCTTGTTTGTTTTACCAATAAGACAAGCATTTTATAGAAAATCTAAATTTTTTTCAAAATGCATATTTAATAAAAGTCAACTTGATTCAGGCTTAGGGTGAAGTTAATATAAAAACAAGGTGCCCTTAAAGGTGAATAGATTTTGTTATGTAGAATAGGGCAATTAGTGGAATTTGGTAATCAATTAATCTTTGAACTGATTAACTGATTATATTCAACTAATTGATTATTCTCACATGAGACTTAGATAGTTGGAAAATCAAAAACAGTAGTAAGTGAAAACAAAACACTGATTTTAATTGGTTGATTATTTTACATGCAGTTAATCAATGTAATTGATGCTTATAGGTAAAACAGATATTAATTTATTGAGTTAATTGTCCAGCTCTAGTTCTATGTATACCTTCTTTTTCACTTATGCTTTTTTTGTAATATCTAAGTAAGATCTCCTAGTGGTGTTTTGTAATTCAGATCAGATCATTTATCTGAAGAACACTCAGAAGAAAGTGATGTTGTTAAAAGTGGAAAGAGAATTCTGTCAGTAGCAGAGGTCAAGGAACATGCTTTTGCTAGATTGCAGGAAGAGCTGAGGAAAGCACAAGAGGTAATTACTTTTTGTGGAATGAATATACTTACTTGTATGTTAACCACTTGCTCTTAAATGTTTTTATAAAATGTAAAATGCTGTCTTTGAAAGAATATTTACAGTTGTTTTGGTAATTTGTTAGTCAAATCTCTTGATGGCCATAATGAAGTAAAATAGTACTGTGAATCAATATTAAGTGAATATATAAAAAAGTACAGAATATCAACAAAATGATTTGACACTTTGAATATTGGTTTCTTCTTCCTCAGTAGCAAAATATTTCAGGCTTTTTTTTTCTTTGTATAAGGTTCAGGAACTCTCCTGTTTTTTCTATAAAGAATTTAATCCCTTTCATAGGTATATTGAATTTAATTTCCTTCCATAGGTACATTGAATTTAATCTTCTTCCTTGGGTACATTGAATTTAAGGATTATTTGCTGCAAGTCAAAGTACATTGAAAACCAACAGAAATTAAATGGTATCTGTGCTACAAAAGCTCCCACCATAAATATATATAGTGTATCAAATAAAACATTATACAAATACTTTTAATGATAAGGCATTTTCATTCTTTAAAGCAGTTATGATAAAGAAAGAAATTATAAATGCAAAGCTATCACTAAGCAAAAGAAGAAAAGCTAATGATGTTTTAAGGAATAAAAAAGGTCTTTAAACAGTCTCATTATAAAAAATTTCATTGGATTTTTTAGTCTTCAATCATTATCCTGAAATAAAAGGTTTCCCTGTGTGCATAAAAAACATTTTTACCCCTTCCAACGTAATGATAATTTGAAATTGCATCTCTCTTTGTATCTTTCTGGAAAAATGGTCTTAAGTTCTCTTTTGATTGAAGCATTTTTTTATTGAATATTTCTTTGGTGTAACTCTTACTGATTTTACAGATTTCTTGAACTAATTTTTTGACAAACTATTTTATGTTGATTTTGTAGAGATAATGTTATGACCATTGTATGAATCATACAAGTTGAGTATAACAAAATGATTTTTTTTTTTAAGTATGAATAAAATTTGCTCTATTATGAGTTTAAAGTATACTGCTGAAAATAAAAAATTAAAACAACTTTTAAAAATTCACAATAAAGTTTATTTGGCCAGCTTCTTTGGTTGCTGGTTACAGAGTGACTTTGTCAATGGACTTGTCATTTCCTTGGTCAATCTCTTTTACTTTCTCCAGTTTTCATAGATCTCTTCCAAACCTTTATAATCAGTCATCTTCAACAATGTCATTTATTCACTTCTTCTCATCACTTATCTCCTTCCACCTTGACTGATTGAATTCAACAACTTATCCAGCTTTTCTATTCTTTCATGGGAAATGACCCCTTTCATCTTTTTAATTTCCTCCTCCTTTCAAGTTCATCATCTCATGTCTTCTCTTGATCCTGGATGAGATATTGCAGATAGGGATGTGGATGACTCCAGGCATCTTTGTGTCGTTACACTACATTTCAGTTTCATCTCCCTCCAATTGCCATTCTACAGTCTTTCCAGAGGCATTTTTACTCCTTCCGACTTAACAGTAATTTGAAATTATAATTCTCTTTGCATCTTTATGGAAAAATGGTCTTAAATTCTCTTTTAGTTGAAGTCTATTTTGTATTGAAGATTCCTTTTGTGTAACTATTTTCTGCCTAAGGAGGGGTGTTGTTGACTACTTGTTTTTATTGTAGCTTTGCCTTTTACCCCTCAGTAAAAAATATGCAAGATAAAACATTCACTGCTAATAATAACGGAGACAATGGAAGAAACCACATACCTCACAGGGAATACTTCTCTCTCCTAAAGCCTGGATCAAGTAGGGAATAACAGAATATGTTAAGTCTACTCTTTCACAGTGCTCACTGTTGAGATGGAATTTTCTGTAAGATTGTTTCTCTAAATTGTACTGCACATAACAGTAACAACAAGTGTGGTTCCTAACCTACTTAACTGGTCAGTTCCTGCTGTGGTAACCCATTGCACAGTTTTTCAATGTGGGGACCTTATACTCATGATGAGATTATTCCTATTTGGGCATCTCTTTAATGTTCTCCCTGTGTGAATTTGTTCCTCTATATTTCTTCTAATGGAGTGGGAGAACCATTTTCCACTATCAAGCTGCTGGGGTAGTTTATATAGAGAGGTTCTTCTTCAGGCAGATGTAATCCCACTTATATGAGACTGATTGAACACATCTTTCAATCTGAAGTAGGGCAGGAATGTTTGTCTAGAAGTGTAGTACAGGCCACCTCCAATACTAAGGACTGTACCATTTCAGGTGGTTGTGCCTAGCAAGATAGGTCTTGAGTTATTTTAAGAATACAAGTCAGGTTTTTATTCCAGGCTCTTTGTCATCCCCAAAAAAACTGGAGACAGGTGGCCTGTAATCAATTTATTCCACCTCAATCAAATTCTAATTTTGCCCTGTTTTACCGTGGAGTCTTTTCTAATCCTCAGCTGGGCTTTTTCTCCGGGTTTGTAAATGACCAAGATGGATGTCTTGAATGCCTACTTGCATATCCCAATATATCATCAGTCGTGACTCAATCTTTGGTTTGTTCATCATGGGGTGGTTTATCAGTTTGCTTTGGCCCCATATGTTTTTTATCGGGTGGTCACAGTGTTCACTCGTCACTTACATGCTCTCGGGTTGTGCTTCCATCATTACATAGATGACTGGCTACTGTTAGCTCGTACAAAAAGGAGTCTGCCCAGCACACTCTTTAGCTGCTCGGGTGGGCTGGTTTGTTAAATTGGAGAAGTCATTCCTTTAGCCTATACAATATCTCAGTCGGGCCCAACCTTCTCCTCTTCGACATTGTTCAATGGATCTTTCAGTTCTCCTCTTGCTTACTGCTCCCTCTATTACAGCTCACGAGGTTCTGTTGCTTTTGGGAATGTGGTCTTCCATGGTAGCCCTTATCCCCTTAGGTCGTGCACATATGTAGGTTCTTCAGTGGGCACATCACGACAGTTGGAATCTTGTGCAGGATCCTTCGATGGATCCTATTTCTCTTCCTCCTACCATTGTTGGCAATCTGCATTGGTGGCTAGACAAGACTCACAGTCAGCGTGTGTCCCACTTCCTCCTCTTTGTCCAGAATTACACATTTTCACGGGTACATCCCTTAAGGGCTGAGGGGCATGGGTCAATCAACAGGAGGCTTTCGGGATGTTGTTTTTGTGGCCAAGAGGTCTTTTCATATTAACATTCTGTAATTTCTCTCTGTACGTTGTACATTGGTTCATTTTCTCCATCTGGCCAGAAATAGTCTGGTAATGATCCATTCCGACAATTCTACAGTGGTTGCTTATCTCAGTCACTAGAGTAGCACCCCTTCTTGATCCATATGTTTTTATACTTTGGATCTTCATATGCATGATATTTATATCATTGCATGTCATGTTGTGGGTGCTTTCAATATTGTTGTGGATCAGCTTTTCCATCCAGACAAAGTCTATCCAACAGAGTGATCTCTTGATTCTCTTGTTTTCCAGTGGCTTTGCCTTCAGTGGGGTACTCCTCATGTTGATGCAATTGCCACATCCCTCAACAACAAATTGCCTCTGTTTTGTTCTTAGGTTCCTCATCCTCTTGCTCTGGCTGTGGATGCTTTCAGTCAGAATTGGACCTACAAATACCTATATGTTTATCCTCCCAATCATCCATGCCATTTCATGTCTTGTCCTTCTGATTGTACTTATCACCGTGGTCTCTTTGTCACCATTTCCCTTTGACTTCTTTACATTGTCACATATTCCTCCTCTTTCACAGGATAGTTCTCCCATGATCTGTAAGTCTTGAAATTTTTACATGTTCTACAGTAATTCCTGTACACTGAATCCGAAAATGATATCCATTTTTCTCCACATTTACAGAATTTTCAAAAAACATCATAAGACAGTACATAAAAGAATCACCACAACATATAGTTTTGAGACTAAAAAATGCAATTTCACACCAAAAAATCAGGATGAATGAGGATGCATATTTATTTGACATCAATGTTCTTCCCTTTCTTCAGTCTGTTTGTATTTTTGTTAACAAAAATAATAGTAATAAATGTTCATTGTGGTAAATGAAATAATAATTTGATCTAAGTAAGAGTTGTTTTTTTTCTTCCTGATTTGTGAAAAAATTTTACATGATAGGGCAAAATGGATTTTCCATAATTCAGCTACACAGATTTTGAAAATGATATTCATTCATTAAAATCAAAACAACTTTTATGAAGTTTAAATTTGCAGGCCTGTGTTATCGTTGTGGTTCTCTATGCTTTCACCCAGGACCCTATCAAACTTTTAGCACACGTTTCTGCTCTTACTGGACATGTCCAATTCTTATTAGCCTTTGTACACATTTCTACTCCCTTGTTTCTTCCCACTTTTTCATTACTGCTCTTCCCTTCTCTTTTATCCTGGTCACTCCTTTCCTCCCATATCTCCTCCTTTGGTTTATCTTTTTGGTATTATTTCTGTTCTGGACAGATGTTCTTTTCTAGTCCAGGTACACAGTATTTTGTCAAACTCTTATACATCTTGTATATGCCCCTCTGACTATGGATGTTTGTATGCTCTCTCAAGTCTCCTCTTTTCAGCTTTTCCCCCTTTTCTATGGGCTGGCATGTGGACTACCCCATAATCGTTTGTCTCACATTAAACTATCTCCATCATCTGTCTGTTTCATCTCCTGTAGCATACAGACTTTCACCAACAGCCATTCTTCAGTTACCCCTGCACCTATAACATGTGTGAGTATTCATTTACTTATTTTTTCCCCCTCAATTCTTCTACTTTTGGATCCCACTAGGTGGTTAGTGTTGCCTCACAGGATATTCTTACCCAAAAAAATCTGCATCAGGCCAAGATAATTGGAAATTGATCAGACCATTTGCCCTGTCCCAGTCAGTGCCCTCTGTGAGATGGGGCTGTTCTTCAAGACCACTGGAGTTCTACTCATGGTAATACTATAATACATTCAGTAGTTGATCCAGACTGTACTCATTCCATGGACTATCATGGAAAAAGCCAGCACTAGAGTTTTGCATCTGCCCACTTCTATGGCTAATGCTTGCTGGTTTTTAAAAATTGGGTTTTGTGGTCACCATTGCACTGTCTCTAGTAAAAGACCTTTCTGGCAGGCATTTGATGGATAACTGAGCACATTCTCTGGATCTCCCCTATATGAATCCCCCATCCTTACACTTTGAATGGAGCACGGGAGACTCTTGCTACTTACTAGCTTCCATCTGCTGAGGTAGTGGACCATGGAGGATCCTCATCAATAGGACCTAAACACTGGGGGCTAGAACAAGAGTTTCTCTATGGTAAAAAGTGGGGCAGTGCTATTTCCACAGTGTAGTGCAGATCACCCAATTGTATATAGATACATCACAATCTCCAAATGGAATTTAGACATATATCACTATCTCACACTTGTATATCTGTCTGTCTTTAGCATAATTACTACTCCCACAATGGCCTGAATCCTCTGTATCTGTATCCCCTCATCTAGGTAACTTTCACACTGGTCTCTCCACCATCTCAGTATTGGATTCTAGCTTTCTGTGCATGGAAGTGAGTGATCATATTTGAAGTTAACATTTTCCTTAGTCAGGCAAGTTGTGCTTATATAAGTAGCCTTATTAATTATGTTCAATAAACAAATGTATGTATGGTGCCCTCCTCCAGCAACTGGTGAGGGGCCCAAAGTGTCTGATGGTAGAGGAGCTGTGCACAGATACTTAACACAAGTGCCCTTTTCCCACAGCTGGTTTTGACTCATAAACTCTGATGGTTGAGGATGTGTGCACCCACTATACAGTCTGAATGAGCCCTAACGTCACTACACTTATTGGCTGTCCAACATCTAGTGTGCAAGCACTTGAACGGTCATGTACCTATTATGCCCTCCCTTATGACACCATGTAGGCCTTTCTCCTCTACTAATCCTGCTCACAGGTGAAGAGTATACCCTGAATGAGATGAGACGTGATCTCCCATGGGTGTGCTTCCATGGAGTCCCAGCCATAAGGTGTCAAACCCCATTGGCTTCTTTCAGACATTTAATGAAGGGAGCTCATCTAGGTAACTTTCACACTGATCCCTCCCCCATCTCAGTATTGGATTCTAGTATTCTGTGCATGGAGGTGAGTGATCATATTTGAAATTGACATTTTCCTTAATTGAAAATGTATTTCTGATAGATGCCCACCTCCATAAGTGTTCCCACCCATCCTCCCCACTTTTTTGATGCACTTTTATTTGTGGTCTTATCAAAGAATGAATATTTTGCACATGAATATAGAGGGTACACTTACACTAGGAGATGTGTCACATTCCTATTGGTGGAGGGTTTTGGTGCAGTAATGCAATTTCCCATAAATTTTAGATGGGAATTTTCACAAGACTGGTGGCATGCAAGTATCTCAGGTAGATTAGTGCAATTTCATGATGAAAATAGCTTTCTGTGTATGGAAGTGAGTATCCATAGGAAATACATTTTCATTTAAGGAAAATAACTTGAATGTGAAATTTTACTTAATTTCTTTTTAAATATTCAAAAGTGAAGATGTTTGATTCCATGTATATGCTTTTCCAATATAAAGGAGCTGAAGTTAAAAGACGAAGAAGTTGCTCGTCTCTGCCAGATCAGAGATGAGGTTGGTGCTGAACTGGAAGAGTTAACTGCCAGTCTTTTTGAAGTAAGTTTCTTAAATTTTCATTCACTGTTTTGTAAATAGGCCATATGTGCAGTGGCGTGCATAGGTTCTATGATGCCCGGGGAGGGGTCTCAAATGCAGCACATGACTGATACATAAATTTCACTTTAAGTGTGAAAAGATATGCAACAAGTAACACAAGTAAAATGTGTATAGTCTACAAAAAACTGAAAGTCCAACATCTTCAAAGTATTAAAAGAGTTGAAAAAATCAGTGATTCTTCTTCACAATTAAGTTAAGAAGTGATTTCAACAATAAAGTATTTGGGATTCTGATACCTGCTAGGTTGTATAACATATTTAATTTAGCAACATGAGCTAAATAATTGGATCAGAGGCATAAAGGTTCAGGCTTTGCCATCTCAAATTTAGAAATTCTCACCAAATAAAAGAGAAACAGTCAGCAGCATGAACATCACCTACATGGTTACTCTTAACCACATGGTGCCACTGACTCAAATCTTCTACCTTCTGGTCTGCAGTTCAGTATGCTAACTACTAGGCCACATATGCAGTAGCGTGCATAGGTGTGTGTGTGTGTGGGGTGGGTGGCCCCGGGCATCCATATCGGGAGGGCATCCAATGCAAAGAGTTGAATTGAATAGTAGAATCCTTTCCCCCCTTCCCCAAGGTCTTAGATACAAGGGAAGTTTTTTTTTATATGGAATTGTAATCAGTTTGATATTTTCAGTTCTTGAAAATCTGTGTTAGTTTTGTATACATTCTTTTCTGTGCTGAATTGCATAGGAAACTTCTAAAAACTTAAAATTTATTTTGAAATGTAATTTTTTGTTTGATTTATAACCCTTCCAGGATCATAAAACATTCACAAAAATTTTAATAATCAACTATCAAAAAGTGTCCGATTTTGAAACTGTTGTATCCATATGTTTGATGAAAAAAGAAATCAGTGATTTATTCCTGCCGACGGTTGTTATCATTACCAGATGAAATCTTAAAATTTATTGACAGTGTATTAACTTTATGAATGTTAAATATTTTCCTAGAAAGATAGGTATAAAATTTTATAGATGAGTGTTGGTCACTTAAAAAAGGTTAACACAAAGTGAAATTTATTGTAACTTCTGAGTTTTATGTACTTAAAACATTAATCATTTTTCTATAGGAGGCTCACAGTATGGTTCGTGAAGCAAATATAAGACATGCAAAATCTGAAAAACTATTAATAGAAGCAAATCTTAAGGTAAGTACTAAATTTTATTAAGAAGAATGTTTTCTGTGTATTATTGCATGTATGTCAGAAAATAACTTGACAACCCATCTTTGGATAAATAAAATATGCTAAACCACACTTTTGTCTGTGTGAATTGTGTAACTCGTGAGATTGATATTGGTATATACACTAGTTGCTTTTGCAATACTTAGACAATAAACAAGTGTTGGTTTTTAAAGGTATTTTATAGATGGTCATTTAGTTTTGGTCAAATGAAGTTTATATGCTATTTTAGTTATAATCCCTGAAATAAGAAGTTAAATTCAACATTGACTACAGAGATTAAATACATTGTACCAAAATGATTTTAGAGCCTCACTGTGTGTTACAGACCATGTTTTTTACATCTGATCATGCCCTAGTTGACGACTGAGCATCTTGACAATAGTCCTGCAGCATAGTTTTTATTGCAAAAGGCTCAGAAGTAAGGTTGTAGTGTAAAAGGATGATGGTTTCACAGCACCTGTTTCAACAGTATGATTGCTCAAAATTCCATAGGTGCCTCGACTGGTATGTCTTCATATGGAATAGCTTGAATACCAATTTCATTTTCAAGTTGCTCAAGGTTTGGAATGGTTAAAAGGGAGGTATGATTGGAAGCCTTAGTTTGGTAAACCTACTCACTTTTGGTGTAGTTTCCAGATAAAGGTCCTACATGATTATGTTGCAACTGTTGCCTGGAGTGTTGTTTTCGCCATTGACCTTTGTGTTTGTGCATTCTTGCATTTTGCTAACCAGATTTCATTCTGAATGGTTTGGTGTCCCAAGTTGATCCATATTCTTGTATTTTCCAATGCCTTTAAATATAATGGGAATTTCATTCTTATAAATTCAAAATCCCTGATTTTAAGACATCTTTATGATCTGAGTTTATGAATACATTATATAGGAAAAGGCTGTTATGTACTCTTACCCAAAAGTGGTTAGTTTTAACTTGCAGCACACTATCTACAAAATACCAAACAATGTTAAAGTGTAAATCTGATACGTGCCTTGAGTTTATATCCGCTGTGGTTGTCACATTACTTGCATATTCAAAATCATTTTAATATAAGATACTCAACCCTGTATAAAAACTTGAAATTGTTGTATGTTTGCTGCTGTAAAGGCAAATGTTTTGGTTTTCAGTACAACTCAACCAAACATAGATTAAAAAGTGAAGTAACATGGGTAACATACTGAGAGATCAACAAACATTTGGGTTACCAAACAAGCAGGCAGATGAAAAGAAAGAAGAGTAACATAAAAAGTAAATAGCCAGATGGATGAACTTAAGAACAGTTACATGAACCTCATGACAATTAAATCTAGAGATATGGGTGAACATATCAGATGTTGAAATGTAATATAGTTTAGGTTTTAGAGATACACAAGATATATTTTATAGTGGATGGCTGAAATTAACAGTACATTAGTTGATACTTTGAACAGTTAATAATTGGATCAACAAAATAAAGAGAATAACCTATGGGTCTGTGACTACACAAATATGAAAGGATGTTAGGTTAACTGACTGAGAAACCTATAACAGTTAGTTTTTCAGTTAATTCTGTGAAAAATCAGAAAACAAAACAAAACTGGGTGTATGTATTTTCAGTCAGGGACAGCATAATATAAACATTTCTGTACATTAGTCATATTTCTTAAATCTGAATCTCCATGTCACATTGCTTTCAAAAATTAATAGGGGGACTTTTTAAATAAGATTATAGCAATATAATTGTATAAAAGACCATTAGCTTTGATTGGTAGGGGACCATTATAAATTTGCTTTATTATGTTGTAACTTAAATACATTGGCTAATTTCTTAATAAGTATTTGTAGAAATATTTGGTTTCTAGAAATGGTTTATCATATTTTCAATCAAAGTAACTTTTAAATTATGAAAGATAAAGTACATTTTGATCTAAAATCCCTCATATTTTATCCTGTCGTGCTAGCAAAACTTAACTGCAGCATCGTGCATGCAGGACTATTACCCTGGGCATCATTCTTTCAAGTCTTTGGTTTAAACTGTATGCTTATTTACACATCTCAATCTCAGGTATTGAAGCAGAGAAACGTGATGTAGTTTCAGAACACGTTCTTCAAAGTGTGTTTACTAGAAGGTGAAGATATCTGCAGAAGTATACTGAGGTTAACAGAGGTCATGTGGAGGTAGTGTAAGACATGAAGGTGTTTTTACAACATTTCTTTCTTCATGGAAAAAACTTTTAAAATATGTAAACATCTTTCATTATGTTTGAGAGACAAGCACATTTTTTTTTCAAGATTTCTAGGTCTGATATTAATGTCTATGTGTGTGTGTGAATACACACGCACAATGAGAATCCTAAAACAAATGAACAACTGCTTCAGTTTGTTTCTCAGTTAATTCTGTGGAAAAAAATTGATGGACTGTAGAAAAAATAAGATTGATGGGATTAAGGGAAAATAAATAGTATGTGTATTTCCAGCCATGGACATCCTAATATAAATGTTAAGCTAGAAAATTAGTAATAAGTCTCTTCTTATTTAAGAATTTTCATGTCACTCTGCTTTGAAGATTTTGATATAGGAACTTATTTACAAGATCTAGCAATATATGTATGTACAAGATCAGTAGTGTTGATTTGTGAAGGGGTATTTTAATTTTTGCTTTAAGAAAAAAATATATATATATATATATGTAAAAGACAGGCTTCTATTGCAACCTTACTATCTTTTGGGAATTAATGTACAATTTTAATTGTTTATTCTTATATTATTATTATTATTTTTTGGTGTGAGGGCTTTGCTGCAATGTTTCAATTTAAACGTGAATATTTTTCTAATGAAAAAATATCCCAGTAAATTGAATAATTTATTATCATTCTTAATGATTTATTTATGCTTGCTCATGCAGTGGCTTTTGTCCTATTGCTCCTTTTTAATGCACTGTTTGAGAATGTAGTCTCAAGTTTTAAAATGATTGCATCCATGTTATTTAAATGTTTTGTAATATAAACAGTAAAGTTCTCTAGTATTTTAACTGAGGAATTTCATTTTGGTCTGAAGTATTGTGGTTTATTGGAAAGATTAGTAATGTTTATCCTGTGTGCCATCACCAATGTTAGAAAACATAGGATTAAAATATATTAATGGATATGATTTAAGCTACATTAATAGCACTTTCCCTTTTTTGTGTTTTTTATTACATTTTGAGTATGACTTGAAATTCTATTTTGTTTTCTCAGACCTCTTAACAAATATTACAGTGATGTAAGTGATAGCTATCATTAGTTGTATTATTAATGAAAACAAAGGCTCAGACAAATCTAATAGCTTTATTAATTGAGGAGTCCTCATTTTGACAATGATTATTAATAACTATTGATTACTGAAAATAACTAGTGAGATGTATATGATGGTATTGAAATGTCTTTGAATTTTTAATCATCTTATTTAGAATGATGTTATTCAAGCTGAAGTTCAGGCTTTGAAAACCCTTGTAATTACTTCAACTCCCAGTATGCCTAATCACCATCTTCACCCTCAACTTACTGGCAGGCATAATGGTGTTAATGCTGTCCTACGCTCAGGACACAAACGTTCTCCTAGTAACTATGAATTAGCCTCACAGACAGAATCTCCTCCATGCTCACCTATTAAAGGAGCTTCTACCTTTCTTAGTAGGACAGATAATTTAGAAGTGAGTGTTTATGAATTTGTATTTTGCTTCTTATTCTTATATGGAGGTGACTAAGAATGAAGACCTTGTTAGAAGGAGAATGTAAATTTATGCCATTATTTTTTATTTTTTTGCCAAATATTGCTTTTGCATAAGCATTTCTCACGATGAAATAACTTAAACCTGTGTAGTATTTTTGTAAGAACCTGTTCGAAACAAATTTAATATTTTGTGCCTCAGTATTTAACCTAACAAAAGTGTTGTTCTGAGTATTTATATAATGTCTGAAAGGATTAAAAGAAGAACTTAAACATTTTAAAACTGAAATTAAGTTTATACATATTGGAATTTAAGTGCTTTTCCTGTGTGTTTATATTAAAATTTTATGTGATTTAAGTTTCTTATTTTGCTTTTTACAGGTTGACCCAGTATGCCATGAAGAATTTGTCAGTTGGAGAAAAAATCCTCACCAAGTAAAAACACACCCTTTTTTGATGCGTATCTACAAAGAAGATATATGGCCTTGCTTGAGATTTTCAAATGAACAGGTAGAGCTCTTTAATTATAGCTTTTGATAAATTTTATTAAATAAAAATTACAACATTTATTTATTTATTTTTTATAAAAAATGTTGCATATCCAAATGACAGCTGAGCTGAATAATGTGACATGTTTATAAAAGTACGAGTGATTAATAAGCTACTAATTAAAACTAAAGCAGATTAAAATCAAGCTAAAAGTTAAAAGTAAACATTTAAAAGCTAGAATGTGATATGTTATTGAACTCTTAAAAAGGCTAAAGGAGGACTTATTTATAATCTTTATTTGTAGGTTGTTCAAGTTTTTTGATTATGATATAAAAATGAATACCTAGGCCTTACAGCCTAGTCTTCTATTACTGATGGTGTTTTGTGTGATACACTGAGGTCAGTGTTGTTCCACTTCTCTTTCCAAAGTCCATCAGTTGGGCATGGACAATGGCTCCTGAGAGCCCATTTGAACAAGTGAAAGAGACAGAAGCCAATGGGAGGTGCATCTGCTAATTGTATGTTTATGAGTGATATAATGTGAATTCCCAATTGTACTTGCATCTTTCCAAAAGAACTGGCTTGTTGAGTTGAACACATTGCTGGAAGCTTTGTCTTATTGGCATCCAGTCCATACAAAGATGGTACTTCTTCATGGTTTAGTGATGATAACATATTAGCTTGATAGCATGCAGAGTTAATCATGGATTTTTTCTCAACTCTCTAAATGTTTAACTTCCCATTGTGGCTGTAACTTTCTTCCACCATAAATCCTTTGGAAAAGTTTTGTAACATCCTCGGTACTATTTTTATAATGTTCTATTACTAGCAAGATGATACTAAATCATGTTGTGTACATGTAACTTATCTTGTTTCATTCATTGTGATGAAATACTTCCATTCATCAGTTTCCAGATACTGCTCATACAGCTTTCAGTAGCTGGTTTTCCATTTGGCTGTGTGCTTTGGGAAAAGCTAGTGAACATGGATCTGGTACCTTGTTTCTACTTTAGGTTAATGGATCACTGTGCTCTTAGATTCCTTATGATAACAAGTTTTTAACTTTCTTTGTTATCTCTAGTGTTTGGTAGTCATTTGTAAAGCAGCCTTTTTATTTATTTCTTGTTGGAATCACAACTTCATATGCTTTACTAATATAGTTCAACACCACAGGTATTCCTTTCTACAAAACACTAAAATTTCATGTCTTGCATACTTTTATAATTGATGAATAGGAGAATTGCATGTCAAAAACTTCTGTATTTGAACCTTCCAAAAAGGAATACATTTTAGGAGTTATGTGCACTTTCAAATCTCCATACTTCAATGAATTGCGACAAGAGGGTCAGGGCTTTTAACCAACTCTTTCGTAACCCACTAATTAAAAATGGAATTTGAAATTTCATAAATAAATATTGAAAAAAAAAGTTCAAACTTGAGTGTATCTGGATGTTTGAACTTCTAGATTTTTATTTTGTGCTGAATCCTAAGCTTACATTCATTTCTCTCAATCAAATTTCAGCATTTGTATAAGTTGGACATTTTATGATTCTATGCTTTCTGTATGTCCATATGTGAATTTATACCACTGGAAGGGTCTTGAGAACATTGTCTTGCTCTCGGCTTTGAGAAAGGGTAGAGTTTAAAGCAAAATATTGATAGAAAGTGGAGGTACCAAGCTCATTGATATGTAATCTAAGTTCCAATATTTATGCGTGTAAGTTAGTTATACGTTTAAAAATAGTAAGTTCGATACCATCAAGGGTAGTGAAGCAACCTTGAGACAAAGTTGTGAAATACCACCCACACACCATGCAATTATATAGAGGTGTAAGATTTTTGATGATGATTTTTTCATTCCTGATAGTGTTTTATGTATTTATTGAAAACAAACAATATTTATTCCTTCACATTTAACTTCGTAATTTAACTCTTTTTCAGCATGGGCTTGGGATTGACCTCATAACCATTTTTTGGTTGTTATAGTTTTCATGCTATAACTTTTAAATTAGTAAGTGTATATTAATGAAATTTGGCATATTATCAGTAAACATTACAATGCTTTCATATGCAAAATATAAATTGTTTTTTATTAAGTCTTAAGGTTTGTTAAGCAATGTTTTTCTTATGTCTTATTTTTCTTTTTGCATGTTGCCTATCCAACATGCAAAGTAGTTTAAAAATACTTTTATGCATCAGAAAATATTCAAATTTCACATGTGAAATCTTTATAATGTCCAGATAGTTATCAAATGTTTTTTAAGAAAAAACTTTATATTTTATCCATTATTTTCACTAATGAATCTCTGTATGGGTTTGGTAGATTTGACTGCTCTTGTAACCATCATAAATAATTAGGAAATAAACATAAATTATGCCTCTTTCTTTCTAGAATGACAACAAATTATAACACAAAATCATAAATGTTTAGACTAAATAGCTTAAATCTCTTAACATTATGCATTCATATACATATATTTATTATTTTTACTATATTGACCAGGCATGGCTAACAATACAGAAGTTACAATGGCACGGCACTCGTGTTACCGTATCAACTATTATAAAACTGACCTTTAGTCTTTACAAAGTGGCCTGTCTTGGCTATGTTTTAGTAGACTAGTATTTTGTAAAATACAGTCACATTATTATACATTATATATATGTATAGAGATTATTACTATTTCAAAATAAGTTCTTAAACTTATTTTTATTAAAACATAGAATAGTAAATAAAGAAGTAAAGCAAACAATTATCTCTTCCAGTTACGACCTTTGTACTTGGTTGCTGCTTAACATAGGTTGCTAAGCCTTTTAGAATTTCGCATGTGGTGGATATGAAAGAAAATAATTTTTTTTTAGGTTTTATATATACAGTTGAATAACCAAAAAATCATAAATTACTATATTGATACCATTATAATTCCACTATAATTTATCAAGCTATATTTGGGTCTAAAAAATATGAAATTTCAAGCAGATTAAAGACACAACCTGCCTCCTTGAAATCTTGGTTCGAAAGAAAGAGATGGCATCCTAACACATGAAAATGGCTGAGAAAGCCACTAGGGGAACATTCTGAGCTTTCGATTGGTTATTCACATGTCATATATTGAAGTAAGTGTATATAAGGGACCATTTCCAAAAATGGAAAGAGTTGAGCGGGTCACTGTTTGATTGATCACATGAGTGATATATGAGCAAAGAGGAAAGGTGGGAGGTTCTTATTTTATATTCTAGCTTGTCAGTATCAGTAATTTGAGTTCCTAATTTGTCTGAAGCTATAGACTTAGTATTTTGACATCACAAACATCTAATTTGAACCAGTGCTGCATTCAACATACCATGTGACACACAAAAATGGATGATAAACTGTGTTTTTTCAATATTTACTTTCAAAACAAGAAATTAAGTAATGTATAATACTAAAATTTGAATCAGTTTAATACCAAAGTTATTGACATAAATTCATGAAACAGTAGTTCAATAAAATTTTGAATATGAGTCAACAAACTCGATGACATGGCCTTTGACTGATGACCCGTCTGGAGAGGGTTAAAAGGTTCTTAATCCTCATTTTTCTGTGTTTTGTGAGGGGTGCATAACCCTGTGATTTCTCCACTTCAAAATTTTCTAACTTCATACAGCTTCCCATAGTTAGAAACACAAACTATGTAATTGCAAGCAAGAATATAAATTTTGATCCTCCTACGTTTTTAATTTGCTGAGATATCAATAAATTTGTCAAACCCACCAGAGAAGCACCTCCCCTCCCTCTGACTTTCAAAATTGTTTGTTAATCAACTTGACAAAACTGACAAACATGTTATATATACGTAATCAATAGAAATAATAGGTTCTGCTCTATATAAATCTTGTGTGTTATTGTTTAGTTTTCTTACCATAAGTGGTTAGTCCTACAAGATGTTTGATATGTTGCTGTATTTTACTCTAGTGACTGATAAGTTTTTTGTGTTCAAAAATGCATATTTTTTAATAAAAAAATTACTAAAATATGAAAATTAGAAACTTCTCAGCTTAACCTAACAGAACTTCAGTAGAATGAAATGTCTAAAATTTCACAAACTCCACTACATAGGTAACATGAAACCTCACAATTACATGTTGCTAACATTAGCTCTATGGAAAACAGCTTATGGCCTTCTTCAATAATATTTTTCTTTTCACATGACATTTAATACTTCAGTTGGCACAAAGGATAGTAATAAAATTGTAAAATCAAAAGAAAAGAGATGTTAAAAGATTAACATTCGAAACTGTAAAATGGAACTTACTGATCAATACTGCGGTCAATGCAGAGTTTAAAAAATGGAATTATTCATTGTATTTCATATTTTCTGACTAAATTTCACTGTACATTGATCATTTTGCTATAGCGAAAGTTAAGGTATAAAAAAATAAAAGTATATAAAATTTTACAAAAAAAACCTTTGTTACTCACTTAGGAGGTTCTAGAGTTTATGCAAATGAACTATGAAACTTTAAGATGAAAATATGTATTTTTATTCATAGTATGAAAATCATCTTTTACTCAGACTCAGTAAAAGCTTTGGTAATTCACAGACAACTCTTTAGTAAAAATAGTTCATTAAAAACTGTGTGTGTGTGTGTTCAACAGATGTTTAATGTGTACTGAAAGCTTTCCATATTTTATGAAGATACATAGACATAGTGAATTTGGAATTATAGTAAACATTATTAAATATAGCTTCACAGATACTGGGTTGGTCAGTTTGATTGAATTTGTGAACAGGTGGTTATTAATTATAAATATATTTAAATCGTAAATATTGTTGACAACATATCATGGCTGATAGAGGTATTGGTATCACCATTTTCAAAGTTGAGATCATTGTTTACAGGTAGATCTTTGTTATACTGTGTTTGTATTATTTACAGTGGGAAGTTATCTCTTTTAATCAGCAAGATAAGATATCAAGATAGATATATATATCAAACCAGTTAAATTTGATTGGATGTATAAAATGGAGTTCTCCAATCGATTATATAAGAAAATAGAAATTGAAGATGAAAGAACATAATTTTATTGTTTTTATTAAAACAGTATTTTACAACAATATTTTTGATATTTCAAGCCAAAAAATAATATAATTAAGTTTTTGACTCAAAACTAGACATTATTAGAAAGTTTGTACCTATTTATCAGTCTGTGTGGTTGGCATGTTGTTAACATATATAGTGAACAACCTTCTTTATCCTTGTCTTCTAAGTACTGTAAGGTTCTGGTAATTCAGATTCATTTCTTGCCTGTATTTGATATGTAAATTTTGGATATTTATCTTTATGACTGTGTGTGTATATGTATATATATCTATATGTAATATGTATGGAAAATACTTTGCTGCTTCAAAAATTTCAGATATTAAATTATTACATCAATAAAAAAACAATTATTTTTGCATACTTCTTTAAGTTAAACTTTTAATCTAATGTGTTATGTTTACAGCTTGCAAAGGAAGTTTTAAAAGCCATAGAAGACAACAGTATTGTCATTGAAGCTGTCAGTAGCAAAACTCCCTTCCCAAAGTATGTATCTTGTTTTATTGATGTTAGAAAATTTATTTGTTTGTGTGCTAACAATCTTTTCTGTTGCTGTTGAAGAAGAGGAATGAAACTGATTTCAAAAATTACGAACAACTTTAATGAAATATGTAACCTCTCATATAGTTTACTTGCATTAAGAAAACAGTTTGTGATTATCTTTCAACCACACATCATAATAACTTATCTGAAGTGGGTGCAGACATTTTATGCAAAGCACCCCAGAAACACATGGATTTTTAGCATTTAGGGAGTTAACCCTTTTGCTATGGGTGGGTCAAAGGCCACGTGTCATGACATTTTAGAGAGCTATTTTCAAAATTTTATTAAATAGATTTACTATTATTTATGTCAATGGGAAGGATATATCACAAATTTTAATATTATATATGTTTTAATTTCTTAGTTTAAAAAGGAAACAAACTATTATTTATGTCAAAGGGAAGGATATATCACAAATTTTAATATTATATATGTTTTAATTTCTTAGTTTAAAAAGGAAACAAAGAAAAAAAATT